TTTTTTTTTTTTAACAAATGCTTCTTTTGGAAAAGTACCTAGTTATAAAGACAACTAGGTAGTCCACCCTCAGATTTCGAAGGTTACAGGTCAGATCTTTCTCTTCATTATAGTGTAGCAATGCCACTTCATTATACTTCAGGCGTATTATATAAAATGTTGTGAAGTTGGAGTTTCAGTCACCTTTAACTTCTTTAGGGATGCAAGTAATACCAATTTAATTAACATCGCTTGAAATTTACAATCTAATGTAAATTGCAGGAGTTCACAGTCTAAAACTTGATTTAATGTCACAGTCGCTATTATGAGAAGTATTGGGCAAGAAGAAAATTTTAAATGTCACAGAAATGAGTTATAATTCTCCTGTATTATTTTATGTTAAACACAATTCTAATGAATGACTTCCATGGTCCTAGTCTTACCCTCAAAAAGCGGTAAAGTTTTAACAGTTGAAGTTAAATGTCATGTTATTGATGCTAATTTGGTTTATCTGGCTTATTTTATTTATGGTACTGAGAATTTAACCCAGGTCCTTCATACAAGATATATCCTTAGCACTTTTTGTGGGGAGGTCTTGCTAAATTATCAGGCTGTAACTCGAACTTGTGATCCTCTCCCCTCAGCTTCTCAGACTCCTGGGATTACAGGCATGTACCACCACATCTGGCTTTATGTGTATATTTGTTGTTGTTGTTGTTTGGTACCGGGGATTGAACTTGAGTCCTTGTGCTTGCGAGGCAGGCGCCAAACCACTGAGCTAAATCCTCAGCCCGCTTTATCTGTATTTTAATAAAAACAGTTAAACTAGGATGTTTAACTACTAACCACAGGATGACTAAACTACTAACCTTTGGAACCAGTGACCAGCTTTTAGTGTTCAAGTTGTTGCCATAGACACATTTCAGTCGTAGTAAATCCTATTCTTGTACTTAGCAGTACACACTCCAGTAGTGTTTACTGAGTTACAAAAAGTGTGCTTGTGAAAAACCCCAAACAAGAACAAACAAAAAAAAACCCTTAGATCTTCTAAAAAGCTAACTAAAGTATTATGAATTATCTGAATTTTTTATTTTAGAAGAAATATCTGTTAATTTTTGAAATTTTGTGACACTCAGCAAATGGAAAAAAAAAGAAAAGAAAATACAGTAGTCCACACAGATTTAAAATGTGCTAGAACATTATAGCAAGTATCAAATTCAGGAACATGAGATCTCAAGTACTCGTTTACTGTAAGAAATACTTTTAATATATTTTCTCCTCAGATATTGTCATTTCAGTATCACTCATTATATAGAAATTTTCATATTTGTAAACATAGCATCAGTATTTGTATATTCAATAATGCAGCAGCCTTTTGTGGGACTCTTATTAAATATGTGCAGACTCAAAATCTGTTATACCTGTCTGATGGTCCTATAAAAACTGTGATAAAGCTGGGTATGGTGGTTCACACCTGGGATCCCAGCACTCAGGTGGCTAAAGCAGGAGAGCTCTTTAAGTTGGAGGCCAGCCAGGGATACATAGCCAGTTCAAGTCCAGCCTGAACTACACAGACCCTCAAAACCAAAACAAAACTATAGTAAGTCTTTATATGCTAGTGCTTATTACTCTTTTTCAAAGAACCATTTTTATTTTTTTGAGACAGGGTTTCAGTTTGTTTTGTTTTGGGTTTTGGGTTTTCTTAGACAGGGTCTCCCTATGTAGTTCAGACTGGCTTTGAACTCACTGTGTAGCCCAGGCTGGCCTCAACTGAAATGATCCTTCTGCCTCAGCCTCCCGAGTGCTAGGATTACAGACATGCGCCACCTTGCCCTGCTTAATATACTCTTAGTGAGTATGCACATCAAGTAATACAGACTGATAGAGGAAATATTTACTTAGAAATGCTTGTAACTCAAGATACTAAATATAAAAGACATAAGTGAGTAGGATGGTGTCATCTCCTGATTGCTTGAAGTTTTTGTCTTGGATACTGATGACAGCAATACCTTGTCACTTTGTGCAAATTGCTCTCATTTGTGCTCATCCTCTGTAGCTCTAACGCAAATACCTGATATTTAGTATTCCCTTTTAAAGACATATTTTCCACATTTGGAATCATACTGTGTATACATTAATTCCAGATGCCCGCAGAGTTAGCTGGAGAAATAAGGATAACAGGGAAATAATTGAACCTAACCAAACCTATCTTCATGGGCCAGATGAGTCAATCAGTAGGCTTTTTAGAATATAATCTATTTATTGGGGCTCAGTGACCAAAGAATAAAGATAACATCTCTTCCTGTCCTAATCTTTTTTTTTTTTTTTGGCACTAGGGATCAAATTTGGGACCTTGTGCTTGTGAGGCAGGTGGTAGAACCACTGACCTAAATCCCTGACCGCATGGTCTCAAGTCAGGAAACTGTCACAATCTGGTCATCCTGCCACAGATTGTTTTGGCAGGTGATAAACCAAATTTTAATTGGTTGTGCAAGGAGAAAATGAGACATGAGTTTGTCTCAAAGTCACTGGAAGTTGCATCCTGCAATTGTACTGAAGCAAGTTCTGCTCATGTTTCTCGTCAGTTCTTTGTATCTGGATACTCTCTCTTGTATGTATGTAAGGACTTCTTCCCAGCTGACTGACAGCAACAGAGTAATTTAGCCTTTTTAAATAGTACTATCCCGATTGATAAAGCAAAGTTTAATAGACTAAAATGTTTTTATTTTCAGTGATGACCATACATCCATACACACATACATGTAAGATCAATGCATGCATACATGTATACATATAAGATATATGTATTTTTTTTGTAGTCCTGGAGATTGAAGGTAGAGCCTACACATGCCAGGCAAGTACTGTTCCACTTAGTTACTCTTTCCATTCTCTCTCTCTCTCTCTCTCATCTTGATCAGTTGCCCATGCTGGCCTCAAATTTGTAATCCTCCTAAGTATCTGGGATTACAGGCATGTGCCACTTTACTCAGCCATAAAAACATTTTTTACTTTGTTTTTTGAGACATGTAGCCCAAACTACCCTTAAATTCTTGATTTTCTTGCTTCAGCCTCCCATACACTGGGATTATAGGCCATGGGCCACCACATCCTGCTCTTGCCATTGGTTTTGTAAACATCACAGGAGCATATATTTATATCATGTGTACAAGATGTTAATGATAGTGGTGGTTGGAGCATACCTGTTAGACAAGTCTATATTTCTTGAATTTTTATTGATATCAAAAACATTTGAGAGATAAAAGGAAACTGCACAGATAATTCTTTCCTTCACACCATTTAAATCTAGTTAAGGAAATAAAATAGAATATTTTCTTATCCTGTCAGAGATTGACCAATCACAAAGTAGTTATGAAGCACAGTATAAAGGAGGAAAATATATAGAATGAAAAATTGGGAAGAATGTAGTGAAACTATGAATAAAATGGGAACTTTCAGAGAATTTTTTTCTTAAATGAAAATGTGCACTGGCACAGAGGGAGTTGAGAGGATATAAAGTAATAATAAGCACTCATAATTTTACTAGGGTAGCATGTAAATCTGTGCTAGGTACTAATTATCTTCCATATTTCATGCTAATTAAAAATCTAGCTGGGAGTGGTGGTGAATGCCTATAATCCAAGCTACTCAGGAAGCTGAAGCAGGAGAATCTCAAATTTGAGCAATTTAGCCAGAACTTATCTCAATAAAATGTTACAAGATGGGCAGTGTGGTGCATCCTATAATCCCAGACTTGGGAGGCTGAGGCAAGAGGATCACCAAGAGTTCAAGGCCAGCATATAGTCTACACAGGGAGACATTGTCTCAACAAAACCAAACCAAACCCCAAAATAAATAGCATTTACAAAGGGGCTAGGGATGTAGTTCAGTGGTAAAGTGCTTGGTTATCATGTGTTAAGGCTCTAGGTTCAATCCCCAGTACTTCAAAAAAAAAAAGTTAAAGTTTTGTTTGTATGTGTAATGGTTATGCACACACCTGAAAATTGTATAGGCCGTCTATTAGGAGAAACAAAAAATTAATGACAAGCCAGCTTCTGTAAATTAAATCATTTTGTGAGAGATAATTCCTTAGAGAGGAATTCATACTTCTTAATTAGTCCCTTAGTTACTC